AGAGAGAGAGAGTTTACTGTTAAATGTGGGAAAAACAATAAAATGTGAAGAGAGTAGAACAAATGTAACAATAAATATTTTGGTTGCTAAATCTTTTAATTAGCACCCCCATGCTCTCTCTTAATTCTTTAACTTTTTTAATGTTCATGGTTATAAACTTAAAAGCTTTTATATTGATTTAAATCTTTTTTTCAAAACAAAACCAACCTAAGTAGGTATTTAATATTGTATTTAATGCATTTAGTTTTCTAAAACAATTTTGATTGTTTTTTTTATTATTATTGGTTTGGAAATACCCTAACCTTTTTTTTTTTGGCTGTAAGTTTTAGTTTTCTGTCTTTTCTTTATTCCAACCGGAATAAAAAAAAAGTTTATTCCCAAAAAGACTCTAATGATGCCAGTGGAAGCAGAATTTGTAGAAACTGTTTTATTGTGTCATCTGAATTTGTCCCTTTTTGCTGCTCCTGACTCTGATGTCAACCTCTGATCACTCAACAATAAAGATTTTGTGACAAAGTAGGGACATTTTGTTATTTCAGCTGTTTCTTAATCTGGTCCCCTTTGAGCTTCCAGATTGTGACGCCAGCACCTGAGCAGCAGTAGAAAATAATAAGTGTAACAGATCAAACTGTTGTAAAGCAAAGCTGATGTAATTTTAAAGTCTTCTCTTACATAAAAAAGTTGCCCAACCGTCCCACCAAACTGGTCACACCCCTCCTCAGTCATTCATTCATGGTTGCTTACAGTAAAGCAGGCTGAACAGTTCCCTCCCTTCCTGAATCGTTTGCCCACTTCTGCTTCTGTTGGTCAGAACCCTGAGGAATCAACCAAAGCAGGAAGTTGGAGTTTAAACCCTCATTTTACCGCAGTCATGTGATACTGCTGGTTTTCTCTTCTGGAAACACATTCAGGCTTCAGGAAGATTTGGGTTTGAGACACAGATCTTCACAAGTCATTTTGTCCGAGGCTCAAAAAGCCGAATCAAGTCTCTAAAAACTTTCCCATCATGCCTAAAACATATAGAGCAGTGGCTAAAGGTTAGACATTCAAACCTGTAACATTGGTCTTCAAAACTTTATTATTTTTAAATCATTTAATGTTCATTAATAGTTCTATCTTAATAGCTGAAAAATTACTTTACTATTTGTGAATTTTTATTGTGTTAGAACAGCATAAGAATTTATGCTTTAAAGAACAACTTCTATTAATCGTTAAGGAGACATTTGTTTTAGTTCAGACAATCTGGATGCTTTTCCAGAATGAACAGCCTGTTTTTGGTGCAGCTACCAGATTAAACACAACTGGTTCCAGACTTTGATTAGGCCATTTTAAAGCCTTCAGTTTTCTTGGAGCCTTGGGTTTTAACCCAAGTTCGGACATTTCCTTCAGGATTTTCTGGCTGAGAGCAGTTTTCATGGATCCCTTGACTGAAAACCTATTTGTCCAGATGCTGAAGTGGACCATAATACTACAGCCACCATGTTTGATATCTGGTATGATGTTAATTTATTCATTCCAGGCGTAACAGGATGCCAGCAGTGTTGTAGTACTCGAGATCGGTCTTGGTCTCGAGACCATTTTTTGATGGTCTCGGTCTCATCTCGGACTTGACCGCATTTGGTCTCGGTCTTGTCTCGGTCTTGGGCACTGAGGACTCGGCATTTTATTTCAAGACCGGTCAAGACCACAACTGTGGAAATAACGCTAATCATCGGAATATTATCAGTTTCTTTAAGATTCTTCTTTTTATTGGATGCTTGGATTCAAATCCAAGCAATAACCTGTCTCATTGGTTTTTTTTGTTTTTGGTTTTTTTTTACCGCTGTCCCGCCCACCCCCTTTCACCTGCGCGCCGGCTGCAGCACTTCGATTGATAGTCACAAGTGGTTGTCTGAGAACGGCATAAGATGTCGGCCAAATCATAGGTTATAAAATTTGGCTATTCAAATCACAAAGAATATATTTGTAAAGCAACATTGAGAAAAAAGCATACAGCGCAGTGTAAGTTCTGCAGTGCTTCACTATCAGAGACGGTAGGGACTACCTCCAACTTTTATCGACGCCTTGAAAGAAAGCACAAAGAAAGGTAAGCTACGTGTAAAAGTGATGTTAGGAAAGCTAGCTAGCTCCTCGGTATCATAATAATTTTATTCTACTATGAAACTGCTTCCAGTTGTGTAATTTTATTTTTGAAACACATGCAGTTGGGCCTCTAAATGTAAGATTTCTTTATTATGTTATGTATAAGTTGCTACATTCATTCAACAGCAAAGTTAAAGATGCGGTATGTAACTTTGATAAAACAAAATATCTTTATAAAAGTTATATAGTTAATTTTTTTTACATATTTAAGTCATTATTTTGTGACAGTATGTTATGAGACCGACAAGCTGTGAAAATATTGAGCACTTCTGCCTTTTCTCCATGTTCCCAGTACTAACTAGAGAAATACACCGCTTGGTCAAAACCAAACCATCTGATCCAGCAACACGGTCTTAGAACTGACAAAGGTCAGTCAGGTTTTTGTGCACTTTGTATTTCAGTGGGGTTTGTATTTCTGCAGATGTCAGTAGTAGCTC